GCTGGAGTGCAATGGCGCGATCTCGGCTCACCGCAACCTCCGCCTCCCGGGTTCAGGCAATTCTCCTGCCTCAGCCTCCTGAGTAGCTGGGATTACAGGCACACGCCACCATGCCCAGCTAATTTTTTGTATTTTTAGTAGAGACGGGGTTTCACCATGTTGACCAGGATGGTCTCGATCTCTTGACCTCGTGATCCACCCGCCTCAGCCTCCCACAGTGTTGGGATTACAGGCTTGAGCCACCGCGCCCGGCCGTTTTTTTTTTTTTATTTTAAAGAGACAAGATTGGTCCGTGGTCCTGGCTCAAGTAGGACTGTGATCATGGCTCACCACATCCTTGAACTCAACTCCTGGGCTGAAGGAGTCTGCCTCAGCAGACTGTCCACCTCATCCTCTCAAATATCCAGGACTACAGATATACGCCACTACAACCTGCTAATTTTTTAATTTTTTGTAGATATGGGGCCCTTCTGGCTGGGCGTGGTGGCTCATGCCTGTAATCCCAGCAATTTGGGAGGCCGAGCTGGGTGGATCACGAGGTCAGGAGTTCAAGACCAGCCTGGCCTATATATGGTGAAACCCTGTCTCTACTAAAAATACAAAAATTACTGGGTGTGGTGGCATATGCCTATAATCCCAGGTACTCAGGAGGCTGAGGCAGGAAAGTTGCTTGAATACAGGAGGTGGAGGTGGCAGTGAGCCAAGATGATGCCACTGCACACCAGCCTGGGCAACAAAGCAAGACTCCCTCTCAAAAAAAAAAAAAAAGACATGGAGCCCTTCCTCCCTTTCTTTCTCTCTTTCTTCCTTTCTCTTTTCTTTTTTAATTTTTTTTTGATATGGGGCCCTTCCTTTTTTTTTTTTTGAGACAGGTTCTCCCTCTAGAGTGCAGTGGCATGATCACAGCTCACTGGGCTCAAAAAGTCAAAAGTTTTAGTAGAGGTGAGGTCTCACCATGTTGCTCAGACTGGTCTCAAACTCCTGGGTTGAAGAGGTCTTCCCACGATGGCCTCTCAAAGTGCTGGGATTACAGACATGAGCCACCATAGCTTGCTTTCTTTCTTACACAAAAGTAGCATAGTATATTCTCTCTTTTACGCTCTATTTTACTCAAAAATTTACTCCAAAGCAGTTCACAGAGATCTTCCTCATTTTTTTTTCACCTACCTAGTAGTCTTTTGTATGGATGTAACATTTTTTTCAACCAATCTCCTTTCTACATATGGGCATTTAAGTAGCAATCCTATGTTTGCAATTATACACCGCTACAATAAATAAACTTATATATTTTTGCATAAAAAATTCTTTTTCTGGGGCAGCGGACAGAGTCTTGCTCTGTGACCCAGGCTGGAGTGCAGTGGCATGATCTCAGTTCACTGCAACCTCTGCCTCCCACATTCCAGCGATTCTCCTGCCTCAGCCTTCCGGGTAGCTGGTACTACAAGTGTGCCCCACCACACCTGGCTAATTTTTGTATTTTCAGTAGAGACGGGGTTTCACCATATTGGTCAGGCTGGTCTCAAACTCATGACCTCATGATCTGCCTGCCTCGGCCTCCCAAAGTATTGGGATTTCAGGCATAAGCCACCATGCCTGGCTACATAAAACATTCTTAAGTGAGGTCAGGCAGGGTGGCTCATGCCTGTAATCCCAGCACTTTGGGAGGCTGAGGCAGATGGATTATGTGAGGTCAGGAGGTTGAGACCAGCCTCGCCAACATGGTGAAACCCATCTTTACGAAAAATACAAAAATTAGTTGGGTGTGGTGGCAGGTGCCTGTAATCCCAGCTACTTGGGAGGCTGAGGCAGGAGAACCCGGGAGGTGGAAGTTGCACTGAGCTGAGATCATGCCACTGCACCCCTCCAGCCTGGGCAAAAGAGTGAGACTCAAAAAAAAAAAAAAAAAAGTACATCAAAATACAGTTAGATAGACTAAGTAAGTTTAAGTATTCAATAGTAAAATAGAAAAATATAGTTAACAGTAATTTACTGTAGATTTCAAAATAGCTAGAATTATAACATTCCCAGCACAATGAAATGATAAATATTTGGGGTGATAAGATATGCTAATTATCCTGATTTGATCATTACACATTGTATACATGAATCAAAGTTACGTGTACTCCCAAAATATGTAAAACTACATCAATTAAAAAAATGAAAAATAAAATGTAACCTATATGTACAACACATACCAAATAAAGGAGGCCAAGAGGGTACAAACTAAACACAGAATGTTGATTTTTGGTGGATATTCAGTGGGGAGGAAAAATTTTCAACTTTTATTTCTTACATTTCTGTACATTTTTTTTTTTTTTTTTTTACATTTCTGTACATTTTTTAAGTTTTTTAAAACTTACTAAATAATTTTTTTTTTAACTAATTTGTTGCCCAGTTGTGGTGGCACACACCTATAATCCCAAAACTTTGGGAGGCCAAGGCAGATGGATCTCTTGAGCTCAAGAGTTCAAAATCAGCCTGGCAGACACAGTGAAATCCTGTGTCAACTAAAAATATAAAAATTAGCCAAGCGTGGTGGCGGGTGCCTATAGTCCCAGCTACTTGGGAGGCTGAGGCAAGAGAATCACTTGAGCCTGGTAGGTGGAGGTTGAAGTGAGTAGAGATGGCGCCACTGCACCCCAGCCTGATAACAGAGTGACACTCCCTCTGAAATAAACAAATTCATCACTGACTTTAAAAATTGGCTTAGCCAGGCGCAGTGGCTCACACCTGTAATCCCGGCACTTTGGGAGGCCGAGGTGGGCGGATCACGAGGTCAAGAGATTGAGACCATCCTAACCAACGTGGTGAAAACCCGTATCTACCAAAATACAAAAATTAGCTGGGTGTGGTGGCACATGCCTGTAGTCCCAGCCATTCGGGAGGCTGAGGCAGGAGAAGTGCTTGAACCCAGGAAGCGGAGGTGGCAGTAAGCCAAAATTGCGCCACTGCACTCCAGCCTGGCACCTGGTGACAGAGCAAGACTCTGTCTCAGAAAAAAAAAAAAAAAAAAAAAGTAGCTTAATCTCCCTGTATCAAAGCTTTTCTCTCTCTCTCTCTCTCTCTCCCCCCCACATATATATATATATA